AGAAACCCATCCCATGCTACTCTCAATAAATACTGGAGTCCAAGAACTTCCAAACTGAACTTTGATGACTTCTGTGAGATTCTCAAGTCTGAGAAGAAAACTGAGGAAACTGAGCTGATGAGAGCTTTCAGAAAGATGGATGTGAACAATGATGGCTACATCACACATAGTGAACTGGAGAAGGCCCTTACCACTGTGAGTAGTTTAAAACAATTTTTAAATCTGCAACTAATTGTCTATTCATTGTTGTAAATGAATTTTTGGGTTTTGGCTACACTTGTTCAGAGAGACAGCCAACTGAGCTAAGCAACTGGAGACCTACTAATGTTGTATTACAGATGAAGACTATCTAAACATAAAAATATTAAAATCACTCATGAGCTCATGCTCAAACAGCTAGAAATATTGTCATTTTGGTGCTTTTACCACTTAAGAAAATGTGCTGAATCTTACAGAGAGGAGAGAAAATGACCACTGAAGAGGTGAATACCATTTTCTCATTAGCTGACATCAACAAGGATGGCAAACTGGACTATGCTGAAGTAAGTTTGAACAAGTATGAAGTGACTTCTCTATCACTGTTTTCTCCAGGTTATCTTGCTTGGCCAATCCCATGAAAAGGTGTATTTTAAATATTGAAAATTGTCCTATGTTTGTGTAACAAAGACACAAAGATGAATGTTTTGTGTAGCTTCAGAACAAAGGCTGGTATACTGAGCAATGAATAGAAAACATTTTTGAAACCATATAATTATACCAACAATGACCAGTGGGGAATTTGAAGCCATCCTATCTCTTTGTTGCTAATAGCTATGAATAACAGACAAGGTTGTAACCTAATTCAAATACACAATAAAGGTTAAAATACTTTTTGCTATTTATTATTTGTTGAAAACATTTTCTTTAAAGTTCAGTAAAATGTGCTTAAAATATAGAGAAACAGATTAAACAAAGAAAACATCAGTTTAGCCCTCCCATGATTTGTTCCAAATTTGTTGTTATTATGCTACCTCCATCCAGCATAAAAGCATTTCTGACCATTACCTCATAACTCATGTGTCATCTCCTGATTTCTGGTTTCATGTTGCTGTCAGTTCTGCAGATTGTTTGTGTCTACAGTAGAACAGTGTCAGATAGCTGCATTGGAGAGGCTCGAGGGTGATGCCAGACTAAAGAGACAGAACTTCGGCAGTCAGTCATACAGCCCCCCAAAGGCCCCTGTGTCCTCAGCATCACCAGCACAAGCAGCAGCAGCTCACCCCCAGCCTCCAGAAACATCAGACAGGACACTCAAGATAGGTACAACATGTGGCCTCCCAGAACATCCCAACGTAAATTGGGATGGCTCTGAATGTTTGTTTTTATGCTTTAACCATGATCTGTTTGTTTCAGTATACATGAATTGCTACATGGAATTATCAGATTTTATCACATTAATGTATAATTCTTGAGCTAGAGGTCCATATTAGCAGCCAAAAGGAAGTCTGTTGTAGATACGTTCACTTATTAGTTTTGATAAATAAGCTCTGCTATTGATCGAGTTTTCATTCCCCCTGTGACAAATCACCTCATTAAGATAGTTCATACATCATAATAGCCACACGATTAGGGAAGCTTGTTTGTTGGAAGGAGACTGTAAAGTGTTGTCATTTGCATAATCATTTCCTGCCATTAACAGACTGACAAAAGCTCTCTCTACACCAACAAAAAATGCTGCCTTTTAGCTCAGGTTTTCAAGAGGGACATGACTAAAAGATATGTTTTATAGCCTAAATGAACAAGGACTGGCATAAAGCCCCGCTGCAGCCTTCTGCAACCACAATAATGAACCAGCAGTGTTTATTTCTGTAAAAGACAACACCTTCAGCCATTTGAAGACTTATATAAAAATCTACTTTTTGTGTTTTAAAACCAGCATTTCCAGGAAAGAGAAGACCAGAGATCCTGGTTGAGCAAGCCAGGGACAGGCCCATAGTGGGAAGATAGATGGGGTTGATTTAAGTGGTCAGTCCATGTTCGTGTTATTGATTTGGAGGATTCCACCACTTCTCACAGGAGAGATGATGAGGGATTAGATGGTGGTTGAGAGGAGGGTCCAGTTGACCGCCACTGCAAAAACAAATGAGTTCCCACATAGTAGTCAGGATTATCCCATAATTGTGCCTCTCCCACATATCGATTTATACCTGTTACATTTTCACAAGTCTCTGACACAAGAGGCTATATGATCACAGATGTTGAGTGGGTTATTCTTGGAGCTCAAAAGCTGCTTTGACTGCTTATTTGGTCTTACATTTGTCAGTAAAACCAGTACTACCCTGAATAAAAAATATATTATGTATGTGACATCTGTAATTTTGGCTGATTTTCTTTTTATAAAAAATTGCTGAGATTAAATCATGTATTAGGTGTTTTCTGTCTAACAATTAGACCAAGTGATAAACTGTCACTGTGTTTCTGTGATAATTGGTTTATTTTGTTCAGTTCTTTCTGTTTTCCAGCACCAGAGTGCTGAAACAATACTCCAATGTTTATTATAAACTCACAGAGAAGCTTTTGTTAGGCCACATTTCAGTGCATTTTTGTCCACATTCATCAGAACAGCTACAATTTGGTCTTCTAGATTAAAATACTTTCATCAGTACAAAACAGATCCATTACCTATTCCATGACAGTGGGTCAGTTTGTTTCTCTGCTACAGTAATTTGCTTGTAAGCCCATCACATTACTTCACATCTTGATTTCCTGGGTTTGGAAACAACCAGACCCCTCATTAGTGAATTGATGTTTTCTGGCTTCAATTAGTGTTCAATGAAAAATAATGGATTTGAGAGGGTGCTTTTTGTCATTTGTGATTTCAAATGCCTCCATAATTAATTAAAGGGGGTTTAACTTGAGCTCACACATTTTCAGAACCCAAATGCAAACTAGCCATCTTCACTTGAACTTGAGAATGGACTTCTGAGAAGACAGATTACAGTGTCAATTATGTCGTGCACCTTATCTCTCTTTTGAGAGTGTTATTTACTGTTGAGACAGGGGTGGGCTGTCCTTAATGTGTCAGTCATTCACTCAGGCTCTCTGTTTTGTTTTAGCAACATTATTTGTTGGTAATAATTTTGTACATGTGCCTTGAGCACATGTGTCACATGTAATTTATCATTTTTGTGTGTGATATGTGTTTATTTCAGACAGCCGACTGTCCTCTCGACCTTCTTCCGCTCGCAGCAGGCGGTCGTCCTTGTCCAACTCAATCATTGTGACATCCAATAGCACTAAGGCCAGCAAAATACCAGAGCCCTCAGGTTTACAGGTATACTTTATAAGTTAATTTAGTATAGTCATAGTATAACAATTTGGTTTTAGACACTTTTTTTTAAAGAACATTCACATATTGTTTATTGGGTTTTTTTTATTTGGATCCACAGCAGTGGTTGCTAGTCTTCCTGGGGTCCATCTATTCAGAACAAGCATGTAAAATATACACATCATAACATTTACAATTAGAATTCCATAACATAAACATGAAATTTACAATCAAAATCAGCCTAATATAATTATTCCCAACACAAGCCAAGATGACACAGTAGTCACTAACCATAAGGATATTCAGTCACGTAGTAAAAATTTGATCCAGTTTTAGGTGTTTCTTAAATATAGAAATATTGGCTAATTCTTTGATTCCCTGAGGAAGCAACAGACCATATAACTGAGCCATACTGTACTTCAAGTGAGATAACGCTATAGCATTTTTAACATTTCTCATTACCAATGAAGTTACACAGAAACAACATTTCTTGGCAACTGCTAAACCTCTAGCCATTTTCTTTATAATACTGTCAATAAATTGAAACTGTGATCAAGTACAATACCCTGTCATTTAATCTGATTAACCTGTTCTGAGTTTGAGCCCAATATAGAACAATGTAAGTGAGGGCAATGAACTAACTGTATGTGTATTTATGTTTCTGAATCTTATTTTTCAGCTACTTTGAAACCCATAATTATCAAATATTAAGTTACTGTTTTCTTTATTTAAAGTTTATTTAATATTTATTTTATTCGGGACAAGTCCATAACATGGATCAATACCACATATGCAGCGTTTACTGTACAGTGATTAGCCTAAACTAGACTGCAGTGCTTGTTCCAAAAATAAAATGAACATTTTGTAAACTGTTTGTAACATCAGTGACACAGCCTAAACTCTTTGTATGTGGGCTCCAGTGAGAGACCAGGACCCAGGAGCACCACTGCTCTCCCAGTATCACTGTCACCCAGTGTTTTGGATGGGCACGTTTACCCCACGGTGGCTAGACATACTGATCCCTCACCCTTTGTTTTTCCTCTTTTTGACTTAACCTCAGCTGCTTTGCTTTACAGCAGGGAAAAGGTAAATAAATATATAAAATAACAGCCCCCTGCTCCATCTCTTAGGTCCAAACACAGTGTTGAGATTGGAAAGGGCCACACATCATCGAGGTAACTGAATGCGTGTCCAGAGATTACCTCTGAGGGAAGTTCTGCTTGCTATATTGGTTTCTATATTGCTACAGGCTGATAATTGGGAGGTAGTGAACGGAGGGTCGGCTGTGATTTTGTAGTGATGTGAATGTGTGTTTCTGTGTGTAAGCCTTGAGCGTTACATGCAAATTTGAATTGAAAGATGGAAAGTAAGGCTAATTCTTACTTAGCATTTGCCTTTATGTGTCGATTTGAATTCTAAGATAAGGCAAAGGTTAATGTTAAATGTGCATGGTTTTGTGCGTGTGTGGTTGTGTTTGTGTCTAGCTTGGTATCCTGTGACCCTTTGTGTAGCAGTAAATCAGACCCTTGGCCAGAGCAGGTGGCAGCGCCTGTATTAGTCTGCAGACTGACCCTCTCTCTATGGGGGCATTAATTCTGATGTCCTTAAGCAACAGACAGGTGCCCATGGCAATTTCTGTCATTTACTATTGTCTGGACAAATTACCAAAGTGTTATGGTTTGATCTTTTATGCCTCTCACAGCCCAAGAAGGATACTTTGAGAAAATAGCTTTTCTCTAAAGGTGTGACATGCTTTGTCTTTATGGTTCTTTCTTTGTTTAACTTGGTGATTTATTTGTCCACTAAAAAGACATATAGCCTATTCCAGACCTGCTTGGCCCTCAGTGGGTTCTTACAGTGTGTCCACACCAACCGTGTTTTTATTTAATGTGCCTCCAGTGAGTGGAAGGAAAACTTCCTTGTTTTGATGTTCCTGTTCAATTTCAAAATATTACCTCATTTCCACTGGAACAACAAGATTTCAAAATGAGAGAAATATTAGGATTCATAAATACTGCCAAAACACCCTCTTGATAGTTTTGAATGAGCGTTAGCTCAAGATTGAAAAGGTTGTATTTATCAAAGTATAATGGACTCCAATTTGCTATGTCAGGTCCTAGAGTGAGGTTTACTTCAGCCTGCAACAGAGTACACAGTGTAACACTTCTGCCCTCCTCTGGACCAGCACAAGCATAACAAGTGTTTACACACTGCTGAGCTGACATAAACTGTGTGATAAATAATATGCCCCCTGAAAGTTGAGGTGGTAATTACCACAACAGCAGATTCTGTTCATCAAGTGAGCAACCTCACTCTTATGACTGACTGTTTAATTCACTTGTTCATGATAAAATATGCTCTCGCTGTCACAAGATCAATCCCCCTTTTAATAGGAACTGCAAATTAGTTTTGGTTTCTGTTGAATGAATAAATGCATTTTGTTGTCAAGCGGCAAAACTATTTTCTTGGGATTGTGTCAGGATCTAGACAGAAACCACAAATAACTAAATATAATAGGATGCACATAACAAGATAAACAGTATGTGCAACATTTTCAAGAACTTAAAATAACAATTTTACAAACTAGTACTCTTCTAGTTTATCAGCCACATTATATCAGTTTGTATGAATGTTTTGGGACTGTCAAGTAAAAGTATTGTTTACTGTTCCAGGAATGGCATCGCATTTGCATGAAGGGGTGTTTCTTCGTGGAGGATAATGGCAGTATCAGCTCTCTGCAGTACCAGCTCCATGTCCCCGAGACAACCAGAGTTTACCTAACCAGCCAACCACTCAGCCTCAGCACCAGACATGGTACTGCCACTGTTTTACATTACACATAAATACAAATCATAACAAAAGTGATAAACCCATCTGCAACATTCTGTTTAGCTTATTCCCCCACGGGGGTCAGAAATTAGGGTTAAGAACAATAGCACAATCAAACACCATAATCTTCATTTTAATTTTGATTATGACATCATCTAAGACAAAACCACTAACACTTATATGTTCATTTCATTCAGGCACTCTCCTTTCTCTTCTGATTCCAATATTTTTACTTTCATGATCTATTAAAGTGAAAATGTTATACATAACCAATAAAAAATCTATTGAAAGGTGATTGTGAGGTTTGATTTATTATTCCTGTAATCTTGTGGTATCTTTCAGACCCATCTTCCTCTCAGATGACAGTGGATACTGCTCTTTTTGTCACATCAGCTGGTGAAACCAAAGAGGACTCAACTTTAGTGTGTTTCACTGAGTCAAAAGACAAAGAAGTATGTTTCTGTGTTGAAAGAAGTACAGGTGCTAGTCCTTATAAAGTGTTACATTTATTAGTATGCCCTATGGCATTAATATCCCCTGTCTGTACAGAAGTATATTTGGAAAGGAGAACTGAATGCTGGTACCTACTACCTGCTTCCCTTCACCACGGGCTGCAGACTAAAGAAAGAGAACAAAAAGGGTCTTTCTGTGAAACCTGTGGAGCTTGTCTACAGAACTAACACTGGAAAAATAGACCTCACAGAGGATTTCAGGTGTGTGTGCATACTTGACGTAAAAACAAACCACAAAACAAAGCTGTTTATTTAACCAGTGGATTCTAACATTCACTTGTCACAGTTTTGGGCAAAATTTGAGATTGTACTATAATGTCCAAAGGTATGAATTACCATGAAAAAGAAATACAAAAAGCAACCCTGTGGGTCCTATACAAAACCCTTGACTACTTAATTTGTCACTGCTCTATTTATATGGATGGTTAGAAAGATGCACAGTACGGAAGCTGTCTGGGATAAGGTCCTGTGTCTAATTTCTCTGTGTTGCTCCCTGTTTGCCACAGGGAGGTGCTGTCTGACATCTTTGATGTCATAGACCTGGATGGGAACGGTTTGCTCAGTCTGGAGGAGTATAATTTTTTTGAGCTGAGGACCAGTGGAGAGAAGTGTGACAAGGATGCCTGGGCCATCTGCAAAGGTAATCAGTGTTTTTATAGGACAGATACATAGGGTGGTCTGTGAAGCAACAAAAGTGGGCAGCAAATAATTTGTATTAACTGTATTTCTTAGTAATATAAGCGCCATACATCCCACACCATAAACTACACACCATCAGCTTTTTTAAAAGAAAACTTTTTTTGGGGTGCAGAAAATTTTGATATGAGAAAGAATCAGCTGACACGGCAGGGCTTCATGGAGCTGAACCTGATGGAGGCCACAGAGAAAGATGGAGATCCTTCTGACCTGTGGGTCACCCTGGAAGCTATGGGCTACAACCGTTTGCTAGAGCTAGTAGAGGTAGGTTTACACATCTACTTCAGACCAAAGCAAATGCAAATGTGTGATACTAGTGAAAGCCCCATTTGCTATTAGCACACACAGATGCAGAGAGAAGCACATTTAGATTTTCAGTATCTAACTTGAATTCTACTAACTGACTGATTAAATGCTTCTTCCTCCACTTTGTCAGGGGTGTCCATTCCAGATAGATGTATACTGTGAAGGCACTCAGGCATCCATCCAGCCAGTCAGTATGGATTCAGGGCCAAAACTTCTGAACCAGGCCCTTCAGAAGTCTGTCACAGCTAGGAAAGGGGCCAAAGCGCTGAGGGGACAAGACAATGTTTTCATCTACACCTACAGAGGAGAACACAGGATCTCTTCCCTCATAGCCAACAAGGTAGGTTATAAACTGCATTAGAGTGATTGTCCGATTGTGCTGGTAGGGTTTAGTTCAGAAATTGAGACATTAGAAGTTGATACAGGGACATACAGTGCCAACTTTGAATGAGATAATTAATGAATACTAAATCATTATTTTTGAAATGTTAAGTGGCACTAATCAGAGCACAGAACATCAGAGTGTTTGTTTATTACGTATATACTGTAATAAGTACTGTCTGAGTACAGTCTATTGGTACAGTCTGTGGTTGCTGGAGACCATTCACCCTGCTTGTAATTGATATGCAGTGGTGGTGTCCTTTTCCATAGCAACAGGAGCTGCTCTGAAGAAATGTCCCCAATGATAAAAGGGAACTAATGAACAGGGAAAACAGTTATCCATTATCCTACAATTCAACTGGAGTAGCACTAGCAGCTGTAGGATGTACCACTGTTGTAGCACTCGAGTCCAGGACTCAGACTTGAGTCTGACTCAAGTCCTGATTTTCAGGACTCGTGACTTGACTTGGACTTGGACTTGGACTTGAGTGTGGACTATATTCGGAACCGAAAGTTAGAGACAAGGACTGACAAATTTGTTGTTGTTATTATAGGCCATGATAATTTGGCATGAGGTATTAAAACCCGTTTGCTGGCACTTTGCTGTATCCAGCACACATTCATCAAAGCGTACACTGTTCAATTCTAAGTAGTGTGTGTGTGCTCCTACAAGTACATTTGCTTGACTATTGTGTCACACAAAGTAAGTAAACTCCATTCAAAATGGTGAGAGCTATGTCATTTGTGTTTAATTCAGACCTTGATGACTTGGACTCGGGTAACAGGGACTCGACTCAGACTTTTAGTGACTCAGACTCAAACACTGGGGATCTGAGACTTGTCTTGGACTTGAGGTGTAGTTATTTGACTACAACACTGGAGAGCACTTGTCTTGGATTTAGAATTGTCTTCTCAACAGCACGTACCCTCTTTACCTGCAGCTGTATCCATACTGTAAGGATGTAGTTTTCCAGAGAGTACCACACAATAGATTGTCTTATGAATAAAAAGTAAAAAGGCTATTGTTCTCAACCATACTTATTTATTTATGTACCTCACAGTATATATGCATGTCTGTTGCAGTTGATATTCATATTTACTGATAGTTCATATTCAACTGGTTTCAAACAAAGCTGGTTAATATCATCATGACCTGTATGCTTTGTGTTGCAGACCAACCAGAAAGTAACTGTGCATATAAACAATGAGCAGAGCAGGAACTGCTGCAGCAGTAGAAGCATGAGTGTGTTTGCTGTAGAGGTGCCAGCCAGGACCAAGATGGTATGAAGTTTTTATTTATGCTCCCTGACTATATAAGAAATGTCTTGTTTTTTATTCCAAGAAAAGATGTGCATTTAAATTTGTAATTCAATTGTTCATTCTGAAAACTGATTTGATAACAATTGATGCAATTGTGCAATGGAATGAAATGATGATACTGGTGTTTTGGTGCTAACACATATATGTGTGTCGTTTCTTCTAGGTGTGCCAACATGTCCTGCCCATCAATGAGAAACAGGACTGGACCTACAACTGTGTGGAGACCATACTACCATCCATGTAGAACTGTAGAACTTCCATGAAAGATTCAAAGCTCGCCTATGCTAGTGATACAGAAAAGTGATTTGGTTTAACATGGGGAACATGATGAAAAAAGATTGGTTCAATGGTCGTACAGACTATCATCTCCAAGGTCTTGTCTCTTATCTGTGTTGCAGTAATATCAGTAAGAGTAACTGCTGTTCAGCATCTATTAGTTTCAACTCCAATACGACCTGCTCACTTTCAGTCACCACTGTTAGTGACAAAGAAATGCAACACAGTGTCATAGAAACCCTACCACCAACTAGCATTTTGGTGGTGTATATGCAGAGCGACGTAGACACACCAGCGTACAAATGCAAAGTATAAATGCATACAGAACAGGCGCTGCGTAGTTTCAACACAGCACCATATATCATGCTTAAGAAGGTCCAAACTGAAAAACTGCCTATGCATTTCAACTTTAACAGGTGCTATGTTCAAAGCTTAGCTGTATGTTTTGTAAAACTTTATCTAAATGTTGTAAACCCTTGTGTGTTAGGAGCTGAGACCCTCTGTCTGCTTGTGGCCAGCAGCTAGATGAGACCTACATGAAAGGATAGTTTTTCAGATGCTCAGTGGCTCTATGCATCAGAGGTGTTAAACACTGATAACAGAGGTGGCCACTGTAATCATAAGGTATCATTGATCATGTTTGTTATGTGCGGTCTGTTTGTTTAGTGCAGACAAATTGTAAATTCCTTTAACATTTTAAATGCATCAGTGGGTAAAGTTTAAGGGTGGCATGGTGAAACAGTGGTTAGTGCTGTTGCCTCACAATAAGAAGGTTCAGTGTTCGAGCCCCGGCCGACCCAGCGTCTTTCTGTGCAGCGTTTGTATATTCTCCCTGTGCCTATGTGGGTTCTCTCCAGGTACTCTGGCTTCCTCCCACAGTCCAAAGACATGCAGCTTAGGTTGATTGCTGACTCTAAATTGCCCTTAGGAGTGAGTGTGGTTGACAGTCTCTAAGTTAAAGTTCTACTCTAATCTACAACATATCATTTAAAATGAAGGCTATTACCATGATGAACTTAATTTTTAAGAAAACTCTAAAGAAGTATTCCCATGTGTCTGGTACTGTGTTGTTATTTTATTATATGCTGTATGTTGTGTGGACATGAGAGGAAGAGCCCAAATCTGGTCCTAACATGTAGTTAGGATTTGTGTCACATTGTAATATAGCTTAGCTCATTTTTTAAAACACTAATTTAGCATGTTTTTTTTAACCAAGAAACATTCAGACCTGTTTAATCACCAGACCAGTGCTTTACAGGGGATTCTTTTTACATTTAAATGAAGGATTATACTTTAGTTCTTATGCCTAAAGTCTTTTTCAGTTCTTCATGATATCTGTGTTACTATGCAGCTATACAGTAGGTCTCCACTCACCACGGTCTTAATACAGTATGGGGCTGTGGGAATTTTGGGTTGGCAATGCAATGCATTCCTTTGCATTGCACTCAGGTCTGAACTTTATTTGCCCTTGACCTTTACAGTTGAGAA